AATAGGAAGTTGAGGGAACAATGATTTGGGGCTTTCCCTACTGCTCAATGGATATAGGCAAAAGTGTCAAAATTGGTGACAAGGCCCTTAGCCAAGACAGGAATCACATCCTATGTGGATCATGAAAGTCCTATAGGAACTATTTTAACAATTTACTGAGCTCTGTGGTTAAAACAACCCCTTCCCTTAACTAACCCCTTCCTTTCGGTAAAGGAACTACTTTCTTCTTACTTTCTCTTTGTAAAGGTCATGTATGTATATACTAGAGTGCAATCTTTACTTTTTCCCAACATTTTTTTGCAGAAAGAATACCTAGTTGACTTTTTGTTTACAGTCAACAAGAGTGACCATATTTTATTAAAGATCCTTCCTTAGCTTTAATTAATCTTCTAAATCAGAGTTTTCCCCTCAGGAATTAACTACTTTCAAGTGCACAAAGAGCCTATTATCAGGGATGATAAGTAGAAGGAATGCTCTAATGTGTAAACATGGTTGTGTGACTCCTCACATAGAATCTTTACCCTGGACTCCTCTCTTTGTTTCACATCCCACATCCAACCCATTACCAAATATGTTGGCTTTTCTTTGGAAAAATATGTCCAGCATCTTATTATTCCTTACCACTTCCACTCTCCACCTGGTCCAAGCCATGCTTGTCTCTCACTGAGATTCTATCCTTGCCCCTCTTTAGTTCACTCTGCACATTGCAACCGTAGTGAATTTATTAAAAAAGAAGTTAGATCAATTCAATCCTGTTTGAAACCTTCCAATGCAGCGGTTCTCAAACTTCTGGCCCTTTAATATAGTTCTTCATGTTGTGACCCTACCATAAAATTATTTTCGTTGCTACTTCATAACTGTAATGTTGCTACTGTTATGAATCATAATGTAAATATCTGATATGCAGGATGATCTTAGGCGACCCCTGTGAAAGGGTTGTTCGACAACCAAATGGGTCACGACCCACAGGTTGAGAATCGCTGCTCCAATGGCTTTTTAAAAAATATGTATTTTTATTGATTTCAGAGAGGAAGGGAAAGGGAGAGAGAGAGAGATTGAAACATCAATGATGAGAGAGAATAATTGATTGGCTACCTCCTGCATGCCCCCTACCCCCACCCCTGGGATATAGCCTGAAACCCAGGCATGTGCCCGGACAGGGAATCGAACCATGACCTCCTGACTCATAGGTCAACACTCAGCCACTGAGCCACATTGGCTTTACCTCCAATGGCTTTTTAATTCCACTCAATGTAAAGCCCGATTCTTATACTGAATTATAAGCCCCTGTGTGATCTGATCCCTGTTTGCTCTCTATTATAAGCTCCTATGTGATCTGGTCCCTGTTGGCTCTCTGTTTTCATGTCCTACTACTCCCCCTCACTCACTCTGCTTCAGTTATGCAGGCTGACCCAGATTTCTGTTCCCTCTGCTTAGACCACTCTTCCCTCAAATATCTGTATTACTTTATCTCTAACCTCCTCTAAAGTTATCTTTTCAGTAAGTCTTTCTGGGACCTCTAAAATTATAACCTCCCCCTGCCCAAATTTCTTTATTTTTCTCCTGTGTACTTAACATACTGCATGTTTTACTTCAAAATCTTTTAATATTTGTATCTTCTAGAACATAAACTCCATGAGAGCAGGGATTTTTGCATCTTTGTTTACTGTGGTTCCCCTGGTGACTAGCATATGGTAGGGTCTTAGTCTAGGTTCTTCTGAATGCAGAGCATGAGCACTAGGTAAATTGGGAAGTATTCCTAGGAGCAGGAGTGAGGAACTCAGCCAGTTGTGGGAATTAGTGCTTGATTCTATTGAGATTTTTGAAGAGCCTTATGAATGCATCTCAGAATATTTTGCCTGGGGAAAGAAAGGGGAAACATTTATCTCTTGGTTTTATCTCTATGGTATTTAGAAAATATGGAAACATTGACCCCGTCCCTTCTCATCAAGCAGATGGGTTTATATTTTCTTTTGAAACAGAGAAGGCAAGGGACTATTGTTCAATCATGTGACCACTGAGGCTAGGTTGGGAAAAGCCATGGAACTTCAACCTTCATCACTGGAATACTCACTCACTCTTGGAACTCTAAGCTACCAGTAAGAAGACTGACGAGCTTGAGACTGCCATGCTGTGAGGAAGCCCAAACCACATGCAGGTGTTCTGATAGACAGTCCCACATGAGCGTAGCCTTTAGGTCATCCCAGCCTAGGTTCCAGGCGGAGGAGTGAGGAAGCGTCTAGAACTGTAGTGCTGCTTGATACAACGACTACTGGTCACATGAGGCTACTGAGCACTTTAAATGGGGCTAGTCTAACTCTTGAAACAAATGAAAAAAATAGAAAGCCTCAATAAATAAATTGAAAGTGAGAAGTAGAAGATATAAAGAAGAACGAAATGGAAATCATAGAACTGGAAAATACCATAACCAAAATAAAATGTTCAATGGGTGGGTACAGAGAAACAGAACAATAGAAATCACCCAATATGAATAACAGAAAATAGACACCCCCCCAAAAAAAGAAATGACCAGGTATATGATTTGTAAAATATCCCCATTCCACTGGTTGCCTTGTCACTCTGTTGACTGTGTCCTTTGATGTACAAAAGTTTTAAGTTTGATGTAGTCTCATGTGTTTATTTTTGTTTCATTTGTTTGTGCTCTCTGTGTCATGTCTATTTTTATTTCTTACAACTGAATGTGCATCTACAATTAATTCAAAATAAAAAGTATACTTAAAATAGAAAAGAAATAAATGGGGCTAATCTAAATTCAGATGTTCCGAAGGCACAAACTACATCCTGGGTTTCAAAGATTTAGTACTCACCTCACCCCCCCAAAAAAGTTGTTAACATGTCTCCTTTTTTATATTGAATACATGCAAAAATGATAATATTTTGGAGATATTGTGTTAGAGAAAATAGATTATTAAAATTGATTTTATCTGTTTCTTTTTACTTTTTTAATGTGGTTATACGGAAATTTAAAATTACATACATGACTGCATATTATTTATATTGGACAGCACTGTTCTGGGTGATTCCCCATCCATTGGACTCACTCCTTGCCACCTGTGTTTTCCCAGGTGAGACCCCAGGCATCATGGAGCAGACAAGCCATCCATACTGTGCCCTGTATGGATTTCTGTCTCATAGAATTTGTGAGTAGAATAAAATAGTTGTTATTTTATACCATTAAGGTTTGGGTGATTGGTTACACAGCAATAGATGATGGGAGCACCCCTTCCTTTTCCAATAGTGGGTCACAGGTATAATTTCCTGGCAGTTTTGCTTTGCTCATGCGTGTGTGTTGTGTTCTTGCAGGTGTTCCACATCACAGGATCAGAGGAGCCCCAGTCAGGAAGTTAGCGTTATGAAGGACAGGCAGAAGCAAGACACCCGCAGGAAGCATATGTAAATGTAAAAGAGTGATGACTGAGCATGTGGGTGAGGTAAGGAGTAGGGTCAAAACATATGAATGATACAGACCATCCCTTGCTTCCCTCCCATATATTTGTGCCTTTGTTTTGTCAAATCCATTAGAAAGCTTCAGATGGTTTTATTAGTTTTTTCAGGTAAATGGAACCCTACACTAGTGCATCATCATTGTCCCCATCCTTCCCAGGAACCTAGCAGAGCCTAATCCAACTTAATCCAGCAAAGCCTAATGTTGCAGGGATGGGAACCACAAATAGATCAAGGGGAATCATGGATAGAGGGACCAATCCTACATTAATTCCTTGGTTCCTATATGTTCTAGTTACTGGGAACATGGCATCATCTATCGCAGTAGGTCTCAACCTTCCTAATGCCACGACCCTTTAATACAGTTCCTCATGTTGTGGTGACCCCCAACCATAAAATTATTTTTGTTGCAACTTCATAACTATAATTTTGCTACTGTTATGAATCATTATGTAAATATGTGATATGCAGGTTGTATTTTCATTGTTACAAATTGAACATAATTAAAGCATAGTGATTAATCACAAAAACAATATGTAATTATATATGAGTTTTCTGATAGTCTTAGGGGACACCTGTGAAAGGGTGGTTTGACCCCCAAAGGGGTCGCGACTCACAAGTTGAGAACCGCTGATCTATGGGCTTTTAGTTTAGTGCATATATTGCAATGTGGAGAGTCTCAATCCTGAAGTTTGTTGTCTTCTTAGCTAAATTATTCATACCACATCATTTTCTTGGTCTGGCTTCTTCTGGGTGATTAAGTACATAGTAATACCAGTGGATCCCATATGCCCACTGATTCATCTCATTTGCTATGAAATGGAACATTTGCCTGAGGTAGTGTTGTGCAAACACCATACTATCCGTAAATCTGACCAGCTGGTAGAGGCACTGAGGTTGGATTGTTCTTTCTTCCAGGGTCGTTTTCTCAAGATACTCAACATGTCTCTCTTTGAGGGGAGGGGCCTTATTGAGACTTGACATCTCTGCTGCTGGGAGGTTAGACATTCAGTAGTGGCAATAGTTAAGTTGGCCTTGATGAGAGAAATCCCATACTGTTGGGACCATGTGTAGCCTCCGTCCTTGTCACTAAAGTGTCTCTGCACAAGCTCATTGCATTCAGCACTGTTCTGGCTGAGGGGAGAGGCTTGCTGACATCCACAGGACAAGTCACAGATTTCCTCCTTCGCTGTAATGCCCTCCACTTCAGTCGTGAGTGCTTGTTCAGTACTTCTAGGTTGCACATGCCGGAGTATTGAGCAGATTCCTGTAGGCATTCTACATCTCAGCATCAGAGAATCTGTGATACAGGAGAAGAGGGGTATGCATGATGGCCAAAGTAAAGTGCCATCAGATGATATCTACATGGAGCTGGACAAACTGTGTGCAGAACTTGCTGAGGTGGTGGCCAGAGTAAGAGATAGGGCTGAAAGAATGGAAGTGGCATACAGAGGTGTCTGACACAGCACTGAATATTTGCTTATTCAGTGAAAGGAAAAACTGAAGGAACAAATGTCTGATTTCACAATATACTTACTGCCATTTCTTGACTTCCCCAATGTAGAAAACATTTTGTAAGTGTTTTTGTGTACTTCCTGAGTCTTTTAAAAAAAATAAATCTTTATTGTTCAGACTGTTACAGTTGTTCCTCTTTTTCCCCCCATAGCTCCCCTCCACCGAGTTCCCACCCCACCCTCTCGCTTTACCCCCCTCCCCCACTCTCCTCATCCATAGGTGTACGATTTTTGGCCAGACTCTTCTGGCACCCACCACACTCCCTTCCCCACCAGAACTGTCAGTCCACTCCCTTTCTATGGCCCTGATTCTATTCTATTCACCAGATTATTCTGTTCGTCAGATTTTTTATTCACTTGACTTTTAGATTCACTTGTTGATAAATATGTATTTGTTGTCACTTTGTTGTTCATAATTTTTATCCTTACCTTTTTCTTCTTCTTCCTCTTCTTAAAGAATACCCTTCAGCATTTCATATAATACTGGCGTGGCAGCGATGAACTCCTTTAGCTCTCGCTTGTCTGTGAAGCTCTTTATCTGACCTTCAATTCTAAATGATAGCTTTTCTGGGTAGAGTAATCTGGTTGTAGGTTCTTGCTATTGATCACTTTGAATATTTCTTGCCACTCCCTTCTGGCCTGCATAGTTTCTGTTGAGAAATCAGCTGACACTTGTATGGGTACAACTTTTCTCTTGCTGCTTTTAAGATTCTCTCTTTGTCTTTTGCCCTTGGCATTTTAATTATGATGTGTCTTGGTGTGGTCTTGTTTGGATTCCTTTTGTTTGAGGTTCTCTGCACTTCCTGGACTTGTAAGTCTATTTCTTTCACCTGGTAGGGGATGTTTTCTGTCATTATTTCTTCAAATAGGTTTTCAATATCTTGCTCTCTCTCTTCTTCTAGCACCCCTATAATTTAGATGTTGGTACTCTTGAAGTTACTCCAGAGGCTGCTTGCACTATCGTCATAGTTTTGTATTCTTTTTTCCGTTTGCTTTTCTGGTTGGGTGTCTTTTGCTTCTTCGTATTTCAAATCTTTGACTTGATTTTTGGGATCCTCTAGCCTGCTGTTGGATCTCTGTATATTATTCTTTATTTCAGTCAGTGTATGCTTAATTTCTAATTGGTCCTTTTTCATTTCTTTGAAGGTCTCACTATATTTCTCAGAGGTTTCTAGAATATTCTTGGGTAACCTTATAACTTTGGTTTTGAACTCTGTATCCAGTAGTTTGCTTTCCTCCATTTTTTAAATTGTGACCTGTTTCTTTGTCTCCACATTTTGGCTGCTTCCCTGTGTTGACAGAGTGGCTTTGTGTGCTAGTTGTCCTATAGGGCCCAGTGGCTCAGCCTCCCCAATTACCTGAGGTGGACACTCTTAGTGCACCCCTTTGTGGGCTGTGTGCACAGTCTTGTTGTAGTTAAGCCTTGATTGCTGTTGGTATTACTGGGAGGAACTGACCTCCAGGTCAGTTTGCTGTGAGGACCAGTCGTGTCTCCAATGGGAGAACTTCTGTGCTGGAGACACCCTTAAGAGTCAGGGCTTGCTTCAGTGGGCTTTTGGCACTCACTGAGTCTGCCCCCTGAGTGTGTCTGTTATGTATGTAAAGAGATGTAATCTGGATGGTCTCACTCTGACCACTGGGTAGACTGCTTCTTGGATCTACAAGGAGGTGCAAAGTCAGCCACTGCCTGATGCCACCCAGCAGTAGCTACAGAGAGATCTGCAGATTCCTCCTCTTTGTTTGGGGTTTGGAGGTGCCCTGATGAGGCGCAGCTGTGAAGTATGCAGACTGCTGAGGAGCCTTAGGCCTTCTTTTAGAAGCTCTGGGGTTCTCTGACCCAGCTACAGTTTAAGAGGTTTTTAGGTGGAGAAAGGCCAGGCCATTCTATGCAAAAGCCTCTGTGCACAGCTTGGGTAGGGTTGTAAATTGGGTGGGGCGAGTTCTCAGGGAATCACCATGGCGGAGCAAACTCTAATGGCTGCTAGTCTGCTTTGCCTCGGAGAGGTCCTGGGGTCTGTGTCGTGTGGCCCCATGCAGGAACAATGAATGCTGCAGGCACCTCTGCAAGAGAGCCGCCCTCACGTTCCAGCCTGATGCCAGACAGTACAGTTTCTCTCTGTATGAGTCTGGGTGCCCAAATTCTTGCCCAGAACTGGATTTCAGAGCAGTCAGGAGCTTGTATCTCCCTCCCGATTGAAAAAGACAACAGCGTACACAGCTGCCAGCTTCTTTCGCGCACCTCTGTACCTCTGCACTTCCATACTTCTGCACCTCCTATGCGACTCAATGTGCTTTTCTCTTTCTTTCTAGTTTCAGAATTTCCACTCAGCCAGCCTTCCCATGGTTCTGGATGATATTTGTTTTATCTTTTAGTTGTAGTTTTAATGTGGTTGTGCACGGCAGCAAGGTCAGGTGTTTACCTATGCCGCCATCCTGGTTGTCTCCTCATCCATTGTTTCTGTCATTTCTGAGTGCCTACTGCAGACCAAGCACTGCTCTAGGTGCGAGGAATACAATGGTAGTCAGACACGAAGCTCCCTGCCTTCGCCCAGCTTACATCCCAGTGGGGGAGACAAACAACAAATGAACTAACATATGTCATTGCTGACAAGTGCCATGAAGACAAATAAAGCAGGCTAAGGAGACAGACTGGAATGTGGGGGCTGCTTTAGATGGAGTGCGAGGGGGCTCAGAGGAGACTTATCTGACAAGGTGACATGCAAACAGAGATCAGAGTTCCATGAGACAGGCAGCCACATGGACATCCAGGGGAGAGCACGCTAGGCTGAAAGGATAGCGAGTGCAAAGGCCTTGGGGCAGGGAGCATGTTTGGCAGGTTCCTGGAATAGCAAGGAAGCTGATACAGCTGGAATGGGAGGGTAGGTGAGAAGCCCCTGGTCTTTAGAACTCATCGTGCACATCCTTTGCTCTGAGAAGCCACCACCATCAGTCCCATGCTGGCAGAGGAACCCTGAGCTGCTCTGTCATCATCTGGCCCATGGTGTGTATCATTAACATGTGTGGACCACAATCACTGCATGAACAGCGCAGCCCACTCGGGCTCATTAATACTATTGGTGTCTTCCCCTCAAAGCCGTGAACTCCTTAAGTGTAGAAACGGGTCTTCTGCATCCGGGTCCCTAGTGCCTGGCTCTGCAATCTCAAGTAGAGAACATCATCTTTAAGCAGCCAGAGTCTTTTCCTGCCAAGAGGTCACCTGAGATGTGCAGGTGAGTCCCCCAGGGAGCCACCAGCAGTGAGATTCACAGACAAGACCTCCTGAAATCAAAGGGCATCGTGCTGTCGTACTACCAGGGGTGGGAGCGCTGCTGGGAATGAACTTTTGATTGATGCTCTATATACTATTGATTAGGCCGCAAATTTTGTTCACTTACATGTTAACTGGTAGATTTTTGTCCAGCACAGATGCAAATGTGTGTGTGTGTTTCGGTAGAAAAGATAATTGCAAAAGTTACAGTTATATTGCAATATTGAATATTACTTTATTTTTCTCTAAGTTAACCAAATTTCAGAATGCCACCCCCAACTAACTGTATAAATCTTTATTCCTCAGATGATGATAGAATCAGGTTTATGGTTCTCTAAATAATAGGTTAGATACATATTTGACATGAATACAATCTGTCAAATTTGAATGAGTCATGTTTTTTTTTTTAATATATTTTATTGAGTTTTTACAGAGAAGAAGGGAGAGGGATAGTTAGAAACATCAATGAGAGAGATCGACCAGCTGCCTCCTGCACACCCCCTGTGGGGATGTGCCTGCAACCAAGATACATGCCCTTGACCGGAATCGAACCTGGGACCCTTGAGTCCGCAGGCCGACGCTCTATCCACTGAGCCAACCGGTTTCGGCTGAATGAGTCATGTGTTTATAATTTTTATTTATTTTTTAAATTCTTACTCACTGTTTTTCCCCATTGACAGTGGAAAGGAGGTGGGGATTAAGAGAGATGAGACAGAGAGAGAGAGAGAGAGAGAGAGGAAGAGAGACATCAATATGAGAGAGATGCATCGACTCATTGCCACCCACATGTGCGCCATCAGGGTCAGGATCAAACCTGCAAAACAGGTACTGTTGTTGACTGGAAGTTAAAACTAAGACCCTTTGGTGTGAGGGCCTACATTCTAACCATTGAGCCACGCTGGCCAGGGCTAAATGAGTCATGTTTTTAGCTTCTTAAAAAATGATAATCTGATGTCTCATTTTGAAAAACACAAATCCAAAGTCCAGCAATTCTTGCATTGTGTGTTTCTCTCAAAGGTCAAGTGACATTAAATTAGATACGTTTTATTTTGTATTTATTTATTTATATATTTATCTTAATATATTTTTATTGATTTCAGAGTGTAAGGGAGAGGGAGAGAGAGATAGAAACATTAATGATGAGAAAGAATCATTGATTGGCTGCCTCCTGCACACCCCACACTGGTGATCAAGCCCACAACCCGGGCATGTGCCCTAGACCAGAATCGAACCCGGAACCCTTCAGTCCACAGGCCGATGCTCTATCCACTGAGCCAAACCAGCTAGGACTGAATACGTTTTATTAATGCACAGTTTTTATAACCAGAACGGAACAGTAATTGTTGCTTTTGACAAAATAATTCCGGCCAAGAAGCTTCCAAAAGGTGAGGTAAGCGAGAATGGATATGGGTGGCTGGGACCTAGTATCCCTTCTTATCAGTCAACAATTTGCTCAGTAGCTCAAATGAGTCCTGCTCAGGTTCCTCCAAAGCCTGATCCTGCTTCAGTTTCCTTACACAATCCTGAACTTCCGCTTTATTGGGGTTGGCACAGACACGCTGCCCGCTTTTGGTGATGAAGCTGGGGAACAAGGAGGAGAAAGGTTACACATTGAGGAGGGTCCTACAAATAGAGATGGGGAGCCCCCTCTTCCCGGCCCTTCAGATTCTCCACTCAGCCCAGCTTGTTCCTCTCTCTGCTGCAGGCACTCAGGGTGTCTCCTCTCTGAGACGCTCCCTCAGCCTGTGAGACTTCCTTAGTGACTCATGGGAGTTTCCTGGTGCAGACCTGCTCCTGCTCTCTCCTTCCTTTCCTAGCTTCCATCTTCAATGGGAACGTCTCATGTCTGATGCTCTGCAGGATCAGGATAAGAATGAGGACACAGCCTCCCTTGACCTTGAAGGATCCAGAGGATGTGACTTTTATGGGCATCCATCCATCATCAGGTCCCTCCTCCCAAGATATGGCTGGCATGCTTGGCACTTACATGACAGCAGGCTGGGAGCACCCACTGGTCGTTACAAAGTAACTTTCCATGAATCTGCATCGGATTTTTCGTGAGGTATAGGACGGGCAGCAGTCAGCAGGACGGTGAAAGCCTGTAGTAAGAGAAAAGGCAGTCTTTAGAAAAGCCTATTTCCTTTCCTCCTTCCCTCCAAAGTACTGGGGAGGGTGAGCAGGCACAGGGCTCAAAGGGCGTGTTTTCCTCCTCGACAGCATTTGCTGGCATCTCCTTGCTTCTCACTTCCCTGGGTTGAGTTGTGTCTGAGGCACCCAGGCCAAGGACACAACAGGGCCAGGACCGTTTCTCCCAGAAGTGGAAGGGTTTGATGCATGCAGGAGGCATCAGAGAGCACCCTCCCTGGTAGGTGAGCCTTGTCCAGGACAGGCAGGAGGAAGAGGTCATCTATGGAGGAGGGACCCATGGCCCAATCTGAGCTTCCCTGTAGATGTTCACCATCCTCAGCACCCTTTCTCTTTCCCCATGTCCTCTAAACAAGGTGAATGAAGCCACTGAGCAGATCTGTACCCCCCAGCTGCTTTTAAATACATGCCACAACGAAATACTTACCTTCTTTTTTAAAAAAAAACACGCATACTTTCATTGATTTTTAGAAAGAGTGGAAGGAAGAGGGATAGAGAGAAAGAAACTCTGATGAGAGGGAAGCTGCACAGCCCCTACTGGGGATTGAGTCCGCAACCTGGGCATGTGCCCTGACCCAGAATTGAACCAGTGACCTAATGGTTTCTGGGTCAGTGCCCAACTGCTGACTTAGACTGGCCAGGGTCACAACTTACCGTGAGAGGGCCCTCTGGGATCCAACTGATGCATCACCATGCTTGGTTCTATTTGGGAGAAGCAGACAAGAAGGAAAGAGAAGTCACTCGGAGGCAGCAGTTTCTAAGTATCTCTACCTACCCCATTTCTCAGTCTTACTCCATCCCCTAGACTGGGAATCGAACCCGTGACCCTTCTGTCCGAGGACCAATGCTCTAACCATTGAGAAAACCAGCCAGGACTATATTACCTTTGTAAAACCTGAAAGATTCTGCATTCCAAAATACATCTAGACCAGTGGTTTCCAACCTTTGTTTGGCCGTGCCCCACCTAAGCATCTCTAAAATCCTGATGCCAGGATTGTTAAGATGATTCAGTGTATTAATATTTATAAGACAATTAGAGCAGTGCATGCTTGTACATAGACAGTGCTAGATACTAGTTTTTAAAAATAGATAGAATCATGAGGTGGACTTAGGTGAGTCACTTGTCCAGATTGTCCCATTTCTTCTTCAAAATGATAGTTTCACTCTACATGGTATATAATAGTTCTAACGTAGGGTTCTATGCTTCTTTCTCCAGATTTATAATTTTAGTACAGTTCTTTTGATCTTCTACATATAGTCCTATATCAGCTAAGAGAAAGTATCAAATAACTCTGGCCATGAAAAGGGAGAGAATTATTTCCTCAAGTGGGACATATCTTCTGTATGTGGTTTTTCCCATGGACCAAAAGCTGCAGAAAAAGGTCTATAGCTACTGCTACTGCTTTTAAACAAGTGCCAGATTCACCTCTATGTTGCAGGAGAGTGTCCCTCTGTGTATCCTCTCTAACTGCAAGTTACCGTTCAATTGGTCCCCAGTGAGAAGGCTCATTCAACTCACCATCATCCCAGGATTCATGGGCCAGGGATCCATGGGCAGGGGATCCGAGGGTAGCAGCAAGGATGAGGAAGGAGAGAGCAGCTGCAGAGACCTTCATCTCCCCTGTGCAGACAGTGCTGGCCTGAGGATCCTGGGCTCTTTCTTCCCTGATTCCCTGGACCCAGCTCTGCCCTTGTATTTATAAGAGGAGGATCAGGACGTCACAGGGCAGAAGAATGCTATTCTTTGGCTATACCATCAACAACAGATATTTCTAAAAAAGGGAACAAGCCTGGGAATGCAATAGGAAGTTGAGGGAACAGTGTTCTGGGGCTTTCCCTACTGCCAATGGATATAGGCAAAAGTGTCAAAATTGGTGACAAGGACCTTAGCCAAGACAGGAATCACATCCTATGCCAGTGATGGCGAACCTATGAACTCATTTCTTTGGTTGATTTTTCTTTGTTCAATGGCATTTAAATATATAAAATAAATATCAAAAATATAAGTCTTTGTTTTAGTATGGTTGCAAATATCAAAAAATTTCTATATGTGACACGGCACCAGAGTTAAGTTAGGGTTTTTCAAAATGCTGACGCGCCGAGCTCAAAAGGTTCCCTATCACTGAGTCCTATTGGGGATCATGAAAGTCCTATAGGAAGAATGTTAATGATTTACTGAGCTCTGTGGTTAAAACAGCCTCGCCCCTTAACTTCCCCTTCCTCTCCGTAAAGGAACTCCTTACTTTCTCTTTGTAAAGGTCATGTATGAATATACTAGAGTGCAATCTGTACTTTTTCCCAACTCCTTTTTGCAGAAAGAATACTTAGTTGACTTTTTATTTAGTCAACAAGACTGACCTATTTTATTAAAGATCCTTCCTTAGGAGATTTGGTTAATCTTCTAAATCAGAGTTTTTCCCTCAGGAATTAACTACATTCAAGTGCACCAAGAGCCTATTATCAGGGGTGATCACTAGAAGGAATGCTCTAATGCAATGCTTTTCAACCTTCCTAATGCCCCAAATCTTTAATGCAGTTAGTTCCTCATGTTGTGAAGAACCATAATATTATTTTTGTTGCTACTTCATAAATGCAATTTTGCTACTGTTATGAATCGTAATGTAAATATCTGATTTGCAGAATGTATTTAGGCAACCTCTGTGAAAGGGTCGTTCGACCCCCAAAGGGGTCGCGACCCATAGGTTGAGAACCACTGCTCTACTGTGTAAACCTGGTTGTGTGACTCCTCACCTAGAATCTTTACCCTGAACTCCTCTCTTTGTTTCACATCCCACATCCAATCCATTACCAAACGCATTAGCTTTTCTTTTGAAAAATGTGTCCAGCATCTAATTATTATTCCTTACCACCTCCACTCTCAGCCTGGTCCAAGCCATCCTTGTCTCTCACTGAGATTCTGTCCTTGCCCCTCTTTAGTTCATTCTGCACATTGCAGCCACAGTGAGTTTATTTAAAAGGAAGTTAGATCAATTCAATCCTGTTTGAAACCCTTCAATGGCTTTTAAAAAAAAATAGGTATTTTTATTGATTTCAGAGAGGAAGGGAAGGGGAGAGAGATAGAACCATCAATGATGAGAGAGAATAATTGATTGGCTGCCTCCTGCACGCCCCCTTCCCTCCGGAATTGAACATGAAACCCAGGTATATACCCTGACAGGGAATCTAACCATGATCTGCTGGTTCATAGGTCAACACTCAGCCACTGAGCCACATTGGCTGGACCTCCAATGGCTTTTTAATTCCACTCAATGTAAAGCCCGATTCTTATACTGAATTACAAGCCCCTGTGTGATCTGATCCCTATTTGCTCTCTATTATAAGCTCCTGTGTGATCTGGCCCCTGCTGGCTCTGTTTTCATGTCCTACTACTCCCCCTCACTCACTCTGCTTCAGTTATGCAGGCTGACCCAGATTTCTGTTGCCTCTGCTTGGACCACTCTTTCCTCAAATATCTGTATTACTTTATCTCTAACCTCCTCTAAAGTTATCTTTTCAATAAGTCTTTCTGGGACCTCTAAAATTATAATCTCCCCCTGCCCAAATTTCTTTATTTTTCTCCTATTTACTTAACACTTAACATACTGCATGTTTTACTTCAAAATCTTTTAATATTTGTATCTTCTAGAACATAAACTCCATGAGAGCAGGGATTTTTGCATCTTTGTTTACTGTGGTTTCCCTGGTGACTAGCATATGGTAGGGTCTTAGTCTAGGTTCTTCTGAAAGCAGATCATGAGCACTAGTTAAATTGGGAAGAGTTCCTAGGAGCAGGAGTGAGGAACTCAGCCAATTGTGGGGATTGGTTCTTGATTCTATTGAGATTTTTGAAGAGCCTTATGAATGCATCTCAGAATATTTTTTTAAATTTAATTTAATTTTATTTTATTTTATTTATTTTATTGCTTAAAGTATTACAAAGGGTATTACATATGTGTCCTTTTTTTCCCCCCCGCCCTTGACAATCCCCTGGCCTCTCCTACCCCCCAGTGTCTTATGTCCATTGGTTATGCTTATATGCATGCATACAAGTCATTCGTTTGATCTCTTACCCCCCTCCCTCCTGCCCCCCAACCCTCCCTGGCCTTCCCGCTGCAGTTTGACAATCTGTTTGAGGCAGCTCTGCCTCTGTATCTATTATTGTTCAAAAGTTTATAATGGTCTCTATTATCCATGAATGAGTGAGATCATGTGGTATTTTTCCTTCATTGACTGGCGTATTTCACTTAGCATAATGCTCTCCAGTTCCATCCATGAAGCTGCAAATGGTAAGAGTTCCTTCCTTTTGAGAGCAGCATAGTATTCCATCGTGTAGATGTACCACACTTTTCTAATCCATTCATCTACTGATGGGCACTTAGGCTGTTTCCAGATCTTAGCTATGGTGAATTGTGCTGCTATGAACATAGGGGTGCATATATCCTTTCTGATTGGTGTTTCTGGTTTCTTGGGATATATTCCTAGGAGTGGGATCACAGGGTCAAATGGGAGTTCCATTTTCAGTTTTTTAAGGAAACTCCATACTGTCTTCCATAGTGGCTGCACCAGTCTGCATTCCCACCAGCAGTGCACAAGTGTTCCTTTTTCTCCACATCCTCTCCAGCACTTGTTGTTTGTTGATTTGTTGATGATAGCCAGTCTGACAGGTATGAGATGGTACCTCATTGTTGTTTTGATTTGCATCTCTCGGATGATTAGTGACTTTGAGCATGTTTTCATATGTCTCTTGGCTTTCTGAATGTCCTCTTTTGAAAGGTGTCTATTTAGGTCCTTTGCCCATTTTTTGATTGGATTGTTTATCTTCCTTTTGTTAAGTTGTATGAGTTCCCTATAAATTTTGGAGATTAGACCCTTATAAGATATGACATTGGCAAATATGTTTTCCCACGCAGTGGGTTTTCTTGTTGTTTTGTTGATGGTTTCTTTTGCTGTGCAGAAGCTTTTTATTTTGATGTAGTCCCATTTGTTCATTTTCTCTTTAGTTTCAAGTGCCCTAGGAGCTGCATCAGTGAAGAAATTGCTTCGGCATATGTCTGAGATTTTATTGCCTTTGGATTCTTCTAGAATTTTTATGGTTTCCCGTTGTACATTTAAGTCCTTTATCCATTTTGAGTTTATTTTTGTGTATGGTGTAAGTTGGTGCTCTAGTTTCATTTTCTTGCATATATCTGTCCAATTTTCCCAACACCATTTATTGAAGAGACTATCTTGACTCCATTGTATGCTCTTGCCTCCTTTGTCAAATATTAATTGAGCATATTGGTTCGGGCCGATTTCTGGGCTCTCTATTCTATTCCATTGATCTATATGTCTGTTCTTGTGCCAGTACCAGGCAGTTTTGAGAACAGTGGCTTTGTAATACAGCTTGATATCTGGTATTGAGATCCCACCTACTTTGTTTTTTCTCAGGATTGCTGCAGCTATTTAGGGTCTTTTTTTATTCCAGATGAATTTTTGGAGAGTTCGTTCTAGATCTGTGAAGTATGCCATTGGTATTTTAATGGGAAGTGCATTGAATTTATAGATAGCTTTGGGTAGTATGGACATTTTAATGATGTTGATTCTATCAATCCATGAACAGGGTATGTTCTTCCATCTGTTTATGTCTTCCTCTATCTCTTTTTTCAACGTCCTGTAGTTTTCTGAGTAGAGGTCTTTTACCTCTTTAGTTAAGTTTATTCCTAGGTAGGTTAATTTTTTTGGTGCGATGGTAAATTGGATTGTTTTTTTAGTCTCTCTTTCTGAAAGTTCACTACTGGTGTATAGAAATGCCTCAGATTTCTTGGGGTTAATTTTGTATCCTGCTACATTGCCAAATTCGAGTATTAAGTCTAGTAGTTTTTTGATGGAGTCTCTAGGGTTTTGTATGTATAATATCATGTCGTCTGCAAATAAGGACAGTTTTACTTCCTCTTTTTCAATTTGGATGCCTTTTATTTCTTCTTCTTGTCTAATTGCAATGGCTAATACTTCCAATACAGGAGTGGTGAGAGTGGGCATACCTGTCTTGTTCCTGTCCTTAGGGGAAATGGTGTTAGTTTTTGTCCATTGAGTATGATGTTGGCTGTGGGCCTGTCATATATGGCTTTTATTATGTTGAGGTATGATCCTTCTACTCCCACCTTGCTGAGAGTTTTTATCAAAAATGGGTGTTGGATTTTGTCAAATGCTTTTTCTGCATCAATTGATATGACCATGTGGTTTTTTTCTTTCAATTTGTTTATGTGATGTATCACGTTTATTGATTTGCGGATATTGTACCATCCTTGCATCCCTGGGATAAATCCTACTTGGTCATGGTGTATGATCTTTCTGATGTACTGCTGGATCCGATTTGCTAAGATTTTGTTGAGGATTTTGGCATCTATGTTCATGAGGGATATTGGCCTGTAATTCTCTTTCATTGTGTTGTCTTTACCTGGTTTTGGTATTAGGGTGATGCTGGCTTCATAGAATGAGCTTGTTAGTGTTCCTTCCTCTTGAATTTTTTGTAGTAGTCTGAGGAGGATAGGTTTTAGTTCTTCCTTGAATGTTTGGTAAAACTCCCCTATGAAGCCGTCTTGTCCTGGGCTTTTGTTTGCTGGAAGCTTTTTGATGACTGCTTCAATTTCTTCCATAGTTATTGGCCTATTGAGATTTTTAGATTCTTCCTGATTGAGTGTTGGAATATTGTATT